GCATACATACATATATATATATATATATATATATATATATATATACAATAAGCAAAAATTATAAAAATATTAAGAATCATAATAAAGTAACATAAAAAAAAATATTGTTAAAAAAAAAATTTTCTTTCATCTTACATGCATAAGTAAGAGACCTGCTACAAAACTAAGTCCTTGGCAGTAGCCAACTTCGCTGTCTAATAACGAGTATGCCTTCAGGAGGTTGAACAGGGAAAGCTGACCACGTCCCAAAGGATTTGAGAAGTACGGATGAGTAGGATATGTGCGCCCTGCAATGAAAAAATGTTGTACTACCTGAAAAGTTTATCTGATCATAATGCATACATTAATAACTGAATGTTCAAATGCTATACTTTTCTACATACAGTTCATGATCGTCCAATTCGAGATCTAATTTGAGACCATCCAAAACACCAACTAATAATCTTCAATCTTTGGAGCCCAGCCCTCACATACATTTTTCAATATTGTAGAAAAAAGGAATGCAGAAAAATAGAAAAATTATATTAAAATTTTAGGTCAGAGTGCCAGTTCCAACCATCTAGTTGCCATAATCATAAATTTTCTCATCTGAGCCCTAAACATGGTAGGGATAAGGAGGTCTAGATTCTCCATATATATGAAAGTCCCTTCCTGCTCACTTTCTACTTCAGATTCCTCTATCACCTAATATGCAAACCAATATTCGAGGCCACTCTACATTATCAGATCCCAAAGATTTCTCGAATTGGAGGATAACCTGTAAATTTCATTTTTGTTTTACTATTTCACAAGAGAAAAAAAAATGAATAAATACAAGCTTAAATAATTATTATTATATTACACTGCAGCATATAAATTTAATTAAATCAATAAAACACAGAATTATGGATGCATTACTTTAAATATTATAAATCAAGTTTACCTAAATCAATGAGTATTGCATGTTGATGGGTGGTGAGTTGACTCAGCAAGTTGTGGTACTTTGGTAGGTCATCTGTTTCCGTCGTTGTGTGCGATATTAAATACTGTTCGGCGAGGAAAAGCCAGATCTCTCCTCGCTTCTGACGTGGTACACCTAATTAAAGTCAACAAAGTAACATTACTATTATCAATATACTCTTTATCAGCCACATTTTCTAACAGCCAAAAGCCAAAAAAAAATTATGGAAAAAGAAAATAGGATATTTATATATGAACAATTATAAAATGATTAAAATATGTTTACAAATATAAACAACTGATGTAAAATGTTTACATCACAGTGATTATAACTTGAAGACGAGACCAGGTTGTATACAATAGAAGGATGAATTGTAAATTCTGTTAATGACAGCCAATCACATGCATTAAAGCCAGCATGACTCATTCAATGAGTAATAAAAGTGCGTCAAATAACCGGCAATCACAGAAAGGTGATGCCGGGATTCTTAACCTTTTCACTTGCATAAGAGCATGAATACAGGCTTATTACACCTTGGCAAGGTTTTGATGATTATACCATACTTTCAATGGGTATAGAAGAATTACCCCCTACTAAAATATTAATGAGGCCTGCCACTTATAAGTAGAGGACCTTATAATTATTAATGGCTTAAGCCATCACTTAAGCATATATACAATTTATCTCTACTCCAAGGGTGCTTCCAACTATTTTTTCAATACCAAATCTGAAATAGTCGAGGTGTATTTTCATATACCGTATATTCTTGCATATAAGGCGAGTTTAAAAAGATTTTTGTTTGATTAATGTATGTTGGATATATAAGACGACCCCTCTTGATACTGCATCTAGCTAGCTAAAAATGGAGCCAAATTTAGGGCCAATCTTCCAAATAATACCATTTTATAGGCTTTTTACTGCTCATCAAAACTTATTTTTCTGCATTTTAAATTCACTAATACCAATAGCCAAGTAGCTTCATTTCAGTAGTAAATTTTCGTGTTATGCCTGAGCTGCACAAAAGACGAACACCGATTTAAAAATTTGTATGTGTTGCATGTATAAGATGAACCCCCTGTATTTCGATCGTAATTTGCTATTTAAGGCGTAGTCTTATACACAAGAATACATGGTACTCACCTTCCCTTACAGCATCTGCAATAAAATATGGGTCGAATCTGACACGACTCCTGTCTGGTTTTGATAGAATTTTCTCCCATTTCTTGGTCACTTCCTTCAGACATGGTGTGATTTCTTCATAATCCAGCTTTTGACGTTTTAAAGTTGCCATGTCCTGTGAAACTAAACGCATGAATATCATCCATTAGATATACCTTGGTTCTAAGTGTAACAGTTAAAAACTAGAAAAATATAATAGAATATTTTTGCTCTATAAACTATGTTTTGTAATGAAGGTTAGGAAAATGCAGTTTAGTTTGTAGCTTTTCTGTCAATTAATAATTTGTAATTAGCATAGTCAATAGCACTTAAGTTGAGCACTTTCAAAATTCAGCTAGCTAATCTATGAATTTGCTGATTCTTTTAAAAGAACAATAATTTAAGGTTTCCCAAGATTTTTTTTTTCTTTTTTGTAGGCCACCTACAGTTGGAGATGTGTAATAATCTTTGTTTTTGTTAATCTAGGAGTAGGCAATTAAAAACGCTGTCACTTAAGAAAATCTAAAGTTACTAATAGTATAGCATATCTTACTAAGTTTATCTTTTTTTTTCTTTTATTTCATCTATGTAGTAAAAATTAGATGATTCAATACTGTAAAATCTACTTAATGTATCATCTGTATCCTTAATGGACACTGAAACATCATAAATGCAGAAATATTATGACTAATATAAAAAAAAATGATGGTAAAGATGAATGATAGAAGCGACATGATCACAACCACCAATCCAACGGCTGAAGTGTTTAGATAAAAATCGCATGAATAAAAAATGGTACCGATATGTAATCCAGAAGACAAACTTGCTAGAGGAATTATTATGCTATTAAAAGCAATTAATGTACAGATAATTACGGGCACTATGAAACCATATATCTATTGTGTTTTAATTACTCCAGCTGATTTAAAAGACTTAGCAGAACATCTTCAGCAGATGTTAGATCATGGGATTATCCGTGAGTCTCGAAAACATGATAATTTGAAGTTATATACTATAGATATTATTTATCATTATTTTTGGTTACGGCAGAACCAAATACAAAATACAAAACTGCAAGAGGTCCAACAGCCCTGATTTTTTTATAAACGTATAGGAAAAGTACAGTCACAAGATATGGGGTGCCCTATTAGAATTCAAACATTCAAATCTGTTTCTAACAGAGTTCGCTTAAAAATCGTCTTTTAAGGACACGCCCCTTTGTACTGTTTGAAATAAGTTTACGTTCTAACGTTCTATACTATTTGATATAAGCCTGCACAATAGTACACATAGTAGATAATGTTTTTAATGTACGCAAGTTTACAAGAAGGTACTATTAATTGCAATTTTATGTTTCTCGTAGTTTTATTTGGTTTTAAGAACTCTTCTGATATCTAAGGTTACATCAATCCATTTTATATAGCTTTTAAAATATTTATGATATTTGGTATGTAATAATGACCATGATATCTTTTTTAAAATAATACTTTTATAGAATGCTTTTAATGGATCTTAAAGTACGTACTTAAATGCTTAAATGAATTTTGTGTTTTCTTTTTTGCTCTGGAAAACAAATTTCATATATTTTTGTATGTGATGAGTAATGAATCAGAATCTAAAATATTCTTCAGCAAACAGAGCAATGGTGCCAGTTCCTTCAATTTCAGTTTGATTCGCTTTGTTATGTGGCCAAAATATGTTATGGTTTATTCAATATGATACAGGAATGCTTTCAGGGTCTTTTTGTATACCTTTCACTGCTTCTTCTATTTCCTGAGCACCTTGCTCAAAATTTTGAATTGGATTATACACTCAACAAATCAGATGTAATTATCTATAAGAGAAATCCCTTTATTCCTTTAGACTCCATCAGAAAATAATCCCCATATTTCCATATTTCTAAGAATTAAGTTTTTGAAATTGTGAATATGGTGATCGTATTTATGAGATAAACAGAATACAGAAATTATTGATTTGTGTTTCAAATAGCAAAATCTCTTTGATTCTTTAGTTGCATACAGCAACAATTGCCCAGGGAATGTACATTAATGATACAATGGTTAATAGGAAAATCCAGCACAGCCTAGAAATCCTTGATAGGACTATGGAGTGCATTGGATGCAAAAATAATCTGTCGTGATTATGACAAGGTGCAAAATAATGATAACCTTTGACAATTGCATGCAGGCAATATAAATCTTCTGTTATTACATGATTATGATAATCTAAGTTACTGCAAGACATTGAAAATAACAATACTATATTTTTATGGAATATACATGCAAATTAAAAAGATGAAGCTAATGCTTTGTCCTCACTATCAAATTTTCTCTGACAAAAAATTGCTGCCCATATATAGTGATGATGGAATGTAGCTGTAAGAATGGCCCCAGAAAAAATGGCCCCGGAAAAAATGGCCCCGGAAAAAATGGCCCCGGTAAAAATGGCCCCATATGACAGGTAGGTAAAAATGGCCCTGATGAAAAATTCGGTAATAGAAATGATATATATTTTTTTTAATCTTCAAATATTTATATACTGTATAAGCAAGAATTGAATCAAGAAATAAAAAATGGCCCTCAATTATAAAATTCAAGAAAAAAAAAAAAAATAAATAAATGTTGTAAAATACCCTGTAGCAAATATTTAATTAATAAATCAACATAAAGAATATGCATATTTGAGAACTATAAATTAGTTTTTAGCTCCTATGAGTGGCTCTGGGAGTAGGTCTAAGTATTTTTTTAAATTATTAATATTTATTAGATATTATTACTATATTTGCAGCCAATTATTAATATTATTATTATTGTTATTATTAATGGCTCTGATGGGAGGCTCAAAAACATTGATTCGGCACCAGTTTTGAACGACGAACTTGCAGGGAATGTTACAAACCATTTTCGCGAAATTTGAAATAAAAATAACGTGGCGACTACTAACTATGTATGGTGATAATGTGATGTCATTATGACCATTTTAGGATGTCACATGATTTTGTCAGGTATAATTTGATAGTCTAGACATGGCTCTACATTGGAATCTCATACATAATTATGGGGTGCATTTTTGAGTGGGAAAAAATAATGACATGATTATAGATGTTCTTTTTTTTTTTCTCCATTGACATTACAAGATCTCAGGCAATAAATGGTAGAATATGCATGTCATGCATTGGGAGACAATTTACAATAGCATTTATATGAGGCAAATATTGGCAAGTCTTAGAATATGATACACATTTGGAACACACAATTTAATCTGGATATGACATGCAAATGAGGCAAAACAATTTTATTTCTGACATGCAGGCAATAATTTGTTTGCGTGAATTTGGTTAGTACATGAAGCAAAGCGTGTCGATTTGATCAACGTACGTCTATCAAGATGCTCAGTATCTGGCGAAGGCTCTACACAGAGAAGACAGGCAAGAAGAATCAGAGCATTATACAGTCGAAAGCCGGACACTCACCCAGCCCGACGGCCGTCAGCCGCTGCAGTTCTCTAGAGAACGCAATGCCACGATGCATGCACACAACAGATCGTTTTTAATGACCATCCGTTCAGACTGCCGCGGGCAATCAGCGCACGGCGTTGCATCGTCTGGCGCTTACCGGGAACGCAGTTGAATTCGTCGGTCGCACGACCGTCCTAAGACTGAGTGAGTGCTCTGCTTAATAGAACACATACTGCTTATTTGCAAATAGTACTACTGAGCATTAATGGGGCTTGCCATGCCAAACCACCATCAGTAACCAAGAACACAAAAATTGATTTTTTTTTTTCTCCACATTATAAGTTTTAAAATGGTGGGTCATTTGAGGCACGTTGTGGCAAAATGGCTAAGTTGTAGCAAAAATTGAAATTCAGGTTATTAGTATTTTCAGATACCTGAGTATGTGATCTTTAAAATGAGGGGTCATTTATTGAAATTGGACATTTCAAGCCTAAGTTATTGGAAAGTGAAATTACAGCACTCTTAGAGTCAAGATAAACATGATTTTGAGTAATTGCCTTCCAAAGTTATTTGTGCATACATTGTTTAATAGAATTAACTATCTAAATAACATTAAATAAACAATTTGTTGATCACTTCCAGAACTAATACGTTGGGACATGATTAATAAGACATTAAACTGTTGGTCTATAGTGCAAAAAAAATTGGATTTTTAGGCAAATTTTTGAGCTACCATATTTTATTCAATACTGGTCTGTGCGACAACTTAACCATTTTGCCACGACATGCCTCATTTAGTGGAACCGACTTACTATTGCCAAAGTTATGAGTAAAAGTATTATGGCCTCTCTGTACTAAAGTATACAATATTGCCACATTCTTGCACTAATTTAATACTCAGTTCGTACACTGCTTTTGGTGTGGCAAGCCTCATTTAAATATTATACAATACAAGTATAGGATATAGGTAGTGCATATAATTGTTACTTTCTTACATTGTAAGCAATATTTACTGATATAATACTAAATATAGACATCCAGGGATAAATAGCAAGTGAAATGTTACGTTCCCAGGTATACTATCAACCTTTGTGATTATATACAGGGGTCAATGTCTACTGCGATCTGTAGAGTCAACCGGAAAATCAGAACTGTTGCCCTCACTCCCAAGTGCAAGCAGACATCTACTGGAATTCAGAATTTTTTTTTTTTTCTGTTGTTTTATTAATTTTTCTCCTAAAGACAGCTGACATTGAGTATCATCATGTAAAAGAAAATACAATAAGACGTGCTATGAAAGGCTCATTAAATCAGATATGGCACATGGGGGTTCTCCTCACTTGGGAGCCCTGTCTAATCAAACAAATAGTTAAGAAATAGTTAAGTTCACTGTCAGACTTTCAACAGACATGGAAAGACACAAAGTTGTTTCATCAGTTGTGTCTGAAAAAAGGAATATACATTATCCAGACAGAATCTAATCAAACATTATGAATTTTGACAGTACATTAATCTGATAATGTATGCTAAGCCTGGTTTCCGTAAAATTGATACACGCTATCGCAAACAACTTTGGCAATGCTAATTGGTCAATTCGCCTTCCCGATTGCCTTGGGGACATTTTATCAATGTAACAATTACAGTGAAAACATTTAATTGACAGTATACTGTATATAACCAGGGTTTGTGCATCAAGAAACAAAACCTCCCTGCAGGAAGTTTTGTTTCTTGGAAAGGCAAATTAATTAAAGATTGTTTACAGTTGTGATTTTATCATTGAGAATTTTGTAACTGTTGAACTTGTCATCTGCATTGAATTTATGCAGTGCAACCACAAATACTGCCCATGGGGGAACAGAGAGGTTCACATCAAAAAAATATGTCTCCAATTACATTAGTACAAATTGCGCTAGTTACTTTTTACCTTTTGTTTTGTATTTGTATTGTAGTATGTAAGCCTACAGTAGAACAGTATTATAGTTGATCAGCATTTTTTAGTAGTTTATGTTTGTAAGCCCTTATCGTGCTTGACTTTTTGAGGTAAAACTAATCCGATAGGCTGGTTACTTTTACCATAATTATTCCAGGGTGAACAGCTCAGGAAAACTTACTGAGAAGAGTAGTTAGTTTAACAGAGTGGATTGTACCCACTTAAAACTGATCAGGTTAGTTTCAACAAGCCGAAAAGTTAAATGCTAACAGCGTGTCTCGGTTAAACTTCCTGAGTCATTTGAGCATTATTCAATGGACAACATTTCCAGTCTGCACCAGCCTCTATTTCGTAATCATGCATACGTTAAGGTCAGGAGTTGGCACCCTCAGAAGTGGATTTTCATGGCTTGGTTAGTTTTATCTTTTCTCACAGTAAAACCGACTTAAAAATTCCAAGCTTGAATGGAATATTACCCATTGTCTTGTATAAAATTTTCACTTTTTAAAGATCATTGCAAATGCGGCTATTATTAGTAAAAATGTCCAATAATCACTGCAGATGCTACAACGTGGCAAGTTATTTAAGAGAGCCATTTATTTGAATGCAGTGCTCATTACGAATATTTGAAGTGTTAAAATGACACCATGTGATGTAAATACATGCCTATTTGACTTCTTTCAACACGTGACCAATATAAATCTTTGAGAAATTGGTCGCTTAACTGTGTCTCACAAGATATGTTAAGCGATACACCCTCAAGGCCGTTTTCCACTTTAGCCTATATACATTCGCAGTTTAATTTTCATCACAAGATCTTCAATTGTGCATGCGTATAGGTAAAAATTTACTAGGCAAATAAATTTCGCCTAGTGCAGAATAGCCTTCACTTTTATTTTTCAAAATAGGATATATCTGTGAAAAGCATTGCATTTTGCCTATTAGAAAGATAAAGGAGCTTATTAAATAATTTACGGTAAATCAGTATTTCAGTTATTCCATTTTTGAAAGGTATGGCCTCACAAAAACACAACTCTGTAAATTCTAGATTGTATAATATAGTTTTATTATATTTTTAAAAATTGTGATGCAAGTTATATAACAACTTAATATTATTTAAATGTGTCTCTTAAATAAAAATATAATTCTTCTTAGCTTAATTTTGTTGGTGGTATAATACAATTGTTACACTTTGAAACCTTATGACTTTTTAAATGTATAATATTTTTTTAAACATAATTTTAAATTGATTATAAGATTGCTATTTTATAATGTATACTTAAATCAGGTTGAAAAATACAAGACAGCTACTTCCAAAATTGGTTTAGATTTTCAAATTTGTGTTAGTAATCAAAACACATATTTTTACCACATTTTATTTTTGAATATGACAAATCATTTAAGTTAAAGCTTTACCTTCAATTCGTCGGTTTTCTCTTTCCATTCTTATCAGGATAATCTGTTCCATTATAACCTTCCTCCAGAGGGCACGAATCATTGCTTTGGTTTTGAATCGAGAATCATGTTTCTTAATACAATCAGTGTTATCTCCCTGAGAGCTATTATCATCAAATACTAACTCTTCATCTTCTTCGCTTATCTCTATTTTAAAAAATACAAATCGATATAAGGATTCTGTTTAAAGATGTAATGTCCCCAAAAATGACAAACAAGATATAAAAAATAATTTTGAAATTTGCAGAAACATACAAATTAATACCTTGAAAAACTATTGAATTTAAAATATGTGTACACTGAATTGTATACTAGATAATGATAAAATTGATAAAAACACTTATTGACTTCTTGACTACAAGCATTTCTATCATTTTCTGCTGTAAAAATGTGAAACATGTAAAACATTTTTTGAAAATCACTAATAATTCCTTACTAATTAACAAAATGCATAATTAATTCATTATTAATACATGCAAATTAGTAAAAAAACGTAATTGATCTATTTAAATGAGCAAATCAACATCTTAAATCAATTTTCCAGGTTTCAATAATTCATTTCAGAAAGTTTACCTTTCAATTTAGTATAAGAAAATATTAAATTGTTGCTAACTAGAGGATAAAATTACAAAAATCTACAAGTAATCTATGAGCATAGGATGAAAATTATCGTCTATGTTTCTTTAACACTACATTTAAACATAATTTTAAATTGATTATAAGATTGCTATTTTATAATGTATACTTAAATCAGGTTGAAAAATACAAGACAGCTACTTCCAAAATTGGTTTAGATTTTCAAATTTGTGTTAGTAATCAAAACACATATTTTTACCACATTTTATTTTTGAATATGACAAATCATTTAAGTTAAAGCTTTACCTTCAATTCGTCGGTTTTCTCTTTCCATTCTTATCAGGATAATCTGTTCCATTATAACCTTCCTCCAGAGGGCACGAATCATTGCTTTGGTTTTGAATCGAGAATCATGTTTCTTAATACAATCAGTGTTATCTCCCTGAGAGCTATTATCATCAAATACTAACTCTTCATCTTCTTCGCTTATCTCTATTTTAAAAAATACAAATCGATATAAGGATTCTGTTTAAAGATGTAATGTCCCCAAAAATGACAAACAAGATATAAAAAATAATTTTGAAATTTGCAGAAACATACAAATTAATACCTTGAAAAACTATTGAATTTAAAATATGTGTACACTGATTTTTATACTAGATAATGATAAAATTGATAAAAACACTTTTGACTTCTTGACTAAAAGCATTTCTATCATTTTCTGCTGTAAAAATGTGAAAAATGTAAAACATTTTTTGAAAATCACTAATAATTCCTTAGTAATTAACAAAATGCATAATTAATTCATTAATACATGCAAATCAGTAAAACATGTAATTGATCTATTTAAATGAGCAACATCTTAAATAAATTTTCCAGGTTTCAATAATTCATTACAGAAAGTTTACCTTTCAATTTAGTATAAGAAGATACTACATTGTTGCTAACTAGAGGATAAAATTACACAAATCTGCAGTAATCTATGAGCAAGATAGGATGAAAATTATCCTCTATATTTCTTTAACACTACAAGTGAAAAGAAATACAGGTCTCACTCTAACAGACCTTTCCGTTAAGCCCCGCCTCTTGAATATTGTTGCCAAGTCCCACAATTTTGATGGTGTAAAACATGTTTTGATTGGTCAGCTGTAAAATTTGATTGACACGTCACAGAGGTCCATTGAAAATCCCTCCAATTAGAGACCACCTCCAATTAAAGACCATTTTTCTGTGGTCCCATATTAACATGTATTTTATCTTAAAAACCTTTAATTGGAGGGAGACCTGTATATTTAAAAGGAAAAAAAAATGTTGGTTCAAGATTCTTTATATATTTTGGGTGAATTTGAAATGGGCAACAAAAAGTTTGTTTGTTTTTTTTGGCTTCATCATATTTTCTGTTGGTAATAATGTAGTGGAATCCCAAATGACATTA